GCTTCTGCAATCATTCTGATAAAGGCAGCTGGATAAACACTTCCACACCCAGAGCCAAGTCTTGAGAGATGTGATTTGGCACTGAGCACGACCGAACCCCTCTCAGCTCCAACGCCAAACCCTAAGGACAAACCCAGCTGCGGCAGGAAATGCCAGGTCAGCAAGCGGCCCCGCTCCGAGCGCAGGTGCCCTCCCAGACACTTCCCCGCGTTACAATAAGTTGGGGTTGGCGTTTCCTGCTGCTGCTGGGCCCGCGCCAGCCACTTGCTCATCATCCATACTCTTAAGTGGAACAGCAGATGGATCAGTTGCTTCCTAGATACGAAGCAAACACGGATGCATTTGCAGACAGAACTACTCTTGTTTTGCAAGGAAGTCTTGCTCTGACCTGCACTGCGGAGCTGCCGGTGCTTGGATCATTGGGCCAAGTGTTCCCCACGCACCATCCTGCTCGGCACTTTGCCGTGTGCCCGTGGGCCTCCTGCCTCCCCAGCCACCCCTGAGCCTCAGCTTGCTGGCCCAACCTCAACTTTCCACATTTCCAGCCTCCTTATGCTGTGCTGGTCCCTTTCTCTCTAATTTAAAGCCACTTTGCTCCCCACAGTGCTCACTCCTGCCAGCTGGCTCAGTGCTCCACTCGGCACCTTGAAGAAGGAGGCCTGAGAGCTTTAAAAGAGGTGTGCTGTTGAGGCTGGCATAAAGACAGAAGCAGATATAAGTCATGTCCTACTTTTTTTTTCTGAAGTGGAGTCAAGACATGCTTTTGCTTTAGTCAAATAAAAACAAAACAGTACAAAAATACTGCAAGGAGTAAACAGATCTGTTAAGCCATCACTGGAAAGAGCCAGGATCCAACCGCGGGTCCCAGGAGGACGCTCAGCTGTGCGGGAGCTGCAGGCCCGCGGCGTCTTGTGCCGCGAGGGAAATTCAAGCACAAGCGGCACAAGCAAAACCCGCGGGGGAAGGCGGCTGTGTCCGCTCCCACGCGTGGGCTTGTCCTCGCCAGAGCCCTGAGCGCGGTGGCGATGCTGCCCAAGCGCCGGCGTTGCAGTGTGAGCAGCGGGGCCGTGCGGGCGGAGGGGATGGACGCTGCGAGGGGGAGATGCCAGGGAGAAGGATCCGTCCTTGGAGCCGGAGTGGGTGAGTGGTGCCGGGTGCGGGGGCAGCTTGTCTGGGCCGCCCCAAACCGCCAACTGCACGTGTGTGTGTGTGTGCGCACAGCGGTGGGGGTGCACGCACACAGGGGTGCGAATAGTGTGTGTGCACGTGTGTGTGCTTGAGGGGGTGTGTGTGTGTGTATGTGTGTGTCTGTGTGTGTGGGTGTGTGCCAGGGGTTGTGCATGGACTGTGTGTGTGTGGGGGGGAGTATGCACGTGCGTGTGTGTGTGTACGTTGTGTGCGTGCGTGTGTGTGTGTACGTTGTGTGCGTGCGTGTGTGTGTGTACGTTGTGTGCGTGCGTGTGTGTGTGTACGTTGTGTGCGTGCGTGTGTGTGTGTACGTTGTGTGCGTGCGTGTGTGTGTGTACGTTGTGTGCGTGCGTGTGTGTGTGTACGTTGTGTGCGTGCGTGTGTGTGTGTACGTTGTGTGCGTGCGTGTGTGTGTGTACGTTGTGTGCGTGCGTGTGTGTGTGTACGTTGTGTGCGTGCGTGTGTGTGTGTACGTTGTGTGCGTGCGTGTGTGTGTGTACGTTGTGTGCGTGCGTGTGTGTGTGTACGTTGTGTGCGTGCGTGTGTGTGTGTACGTTGTGTGCGTGCGTGTGTGTGTGTACGTTGTGTGCGTGCGTGTGTGTGTGTACGTTGTGTGCGTGCGTGTGTGTGTGTACGTTGTGTGCGTGCGTGTGTGTGTGTACGTTGTGTGCGTGCGTGTGTGTGTGTACGTTGTGTGCGTGCGTGTGTGTGTGTACGTTGTGTGCGTGCGTGTGTGTGTGTACGTTGTGTGCGTGCGTGTGTGTGTGTACGTTGTGTGCGTGCGTGTGTGTGTGTACGTTGTGTGCGTGCGTGTGTGTGTGTACGTTGTGTGCGTGCGTGTGTGTGTGTACGTTGTGTGCGTGCGTGTGTGTGTGTACGTTGTGTGTTTGTGTGTGCACGAGTGCGGGTGTTGGTGTCTGCACGGGTGTGTTGTTAATGCGTGCACAGGTGTTTGTGTGTGTGTGTTGATGTGTGCACAGGTGTTTCTGTGTGCACGGAGGGTGCCCACCATCCCAATACCCCTCCGTGTTGGCATCTCACACTTAGGCTCCAGAGCAGTTTCACTCCCAGGAGGCATCGACAACTCTCCGTAGCCGCGGGCGTCCATGCCTATTGATTCCCAAACCTAACCACAGAGATCAATATCCATGGATCCGCTGTGCGGGAGGTGTGCCCGGGTGGGTGCAGGCATGGCATCGGGGTGCCGTAGCCTATAGCTATAGGTTGGTGTCCCTAATGCAGCAGGGGGTGCATGCAGGGCTATAGGCGTGAGCCCACACACGCTGCAGCGGGCGGTACATGTTGCTGCACATCTGCTAACAAACCCTCCCGCGTCGCTTACGAAACAACCAAACCGGTGCGTTAGGAAGTCTTCCCATCTCCCGACCATTTAGGAAGTCTTCCCATATCCCGACCATTTAGGAAGTCTTCCCATCTCCCGACCATTTAGATGGGACATCTCTCCCGCCTTATCCTGGGGCCGTTCCCCCTGGTTCTGTTTGTGTCTCTCCTGCCAGTCCCTGTACTGTTGTCATCAGATCCCATTTGCTTTGGGAGAACAAGGTATGAGGCTTGGCTGGTGGACAGGGGTTGTCATTAGGGATTTGAGCTGTTTCTTGGTTAGGCATTGATCCAATGTACATTTGCAGAGACGCTTGATTTTAAAACCCTAGCAAGCCCTGGTGGATTAGCTGGGATTTCTCACATGGTTTAAGATGAGAAGTGTACATAAATGCTTGCAGACTTGTTTTAATGCGTAAGCTGCTTACGCTGGGAGACGCTGCTTGGCTCCTAAAAGGTGTTTTATAGATGTGCTCATCCCCGTGGGCACAGGCCCCGCTAGACCTCTCACATCACCTGGGGAGAAGTAAAGATGACAATAGTTTAAAAACAGTTTTAGGGAAGACACAGCCATGAGGGCAGAGAGCTTTAAAAGGTGCTGATCTGCTGTTCCTCACTTGTGATTTCCAAGGACTTTTCCCTTGAAGGTTTGAAGCAGGTCCTGGGATTCCAGCAGATCTTGGCAGATCCCGGACAAGGGCACTAGGCGAGTTGCTTTCATCTCTTTGTCTCAGTTCCCCCCAGACCTGCCCTTTCCAGGGACTTTGGGAACATAAATGCACTGCAAATGTTAGAGACTAGGATGAGAAAGTTTGTCTAACTAAATAACTAAACCGAACAACTGATTTTGCTTTATAGTGGAAGCTGAGATTCTTGTAAAACATCAAATAGTTCTAGTTACTTGTGGCTTTGGAAAAAATGCTGCCAGTCTCTGCTTTTAAAACTTTTTTTTTCCTTGCTTTTAATATAGCTAAACTTAGCAACAATGGGCTGTGTAAACTTATATGCGAGAGTCTGAGAAAATGCCTAGCTGTGTTGTTTTCCTGGCTTCTGCCTTTGTTTTCACTGCATTTGTAATGATCACAGCTACAAAAACAAACAGAAAAGAAAAGTTTGGAAGTTTAATTTGGACCATTTGTGTTGTTATCTGCAGACTGCAGATAGATAGGAGGGGATGGATGCTCCATAGCTCGGCTCTGGCTTCTCTGCGCAGGTTGCTGACCTGTGCCCAGCAGCAGTCAGGTCCATGGCAGCACCTGAACTTGTTTAAATGTGTGACACAGGAGCTGGTGACCCTTGTCTGCAGTGTGAAGGGCACCTGGCGCTGAGAACTAAGGACCAGAAAAGTGATTTGCAGGAGCAGCCACAGGTTTCTTGTGCCAGGAAGAAAAATTAGTGAGAAGTTCGAGGGAAGCAGAGTGTGGAAATGGAGAGTGGGGTTAAATGACAGAGATACTCTCTCATTCCTGTTTTTTTGTTGTTGTTCTCTTGCCCTTCCTCCTTGCATTATGCTATGGTGGCATCTGGTCTCTGAGGCCCTCTCTCCACCTTGGATAACCAAGAGTTCGTGTCTAATATCAACCCTGAGCTCTATTTGCACCTGCTAAGAGATGCTCTGGTATCTGGATGGGCTATTTGATGGAGCTGGTGTCAATATGGGGTGCTAGGAGTAGCCGTGCCCAATCAATGCCACCCTGACCCGGGGTACTCCAAGCAAATGTGTCTGCTGGGGTCCTGGTGGGTCGCTTGGGTGCTCCGTGGGCAACGCAGCGGAGTGGGGCGGATCGGGGATGTGGATGGGGCCGCTGGGGGGGGGAGCCCCGGGGGCGGGGTGGGGGCAGCCCCGGGACACGGCTGTGACCCGCAGCTGCCGGGTGCCTCTCGTGTCAGAGCTGCCTGGAGGCGCTAGGGGGTGAAACCGGAGAAGAGGAGGAGAAGGGCAAGGAAACCTGGGCTAGGGAGAGGCAGGAATGAAATGCAGCCTGAAATGCAGCCGCTGCTGATGAGATCTAAGCCTTTATTCAATGCAAAAGCAACCCAAGCAGCTGCCAGCCCCGGAGGCAGGTCGTACACCAAGCGTGTGCGTGACAGCCCCTGGGGATTGCCTGCTTTTGTTTAAGGGATGCAATATTTATTACCCTGCTCTGCAGCATCCCTCCTGGCCAGGCAGAGGGGTAGGCACAGAGCAAGCTGGAGCTCTCTGGATCCTCCCAGTGCAGGAGGATCGGCCCAAAGGATGGCGAGAGGAGCCTGGAAGGGGCTGCGAATGTGGGCAGGGGGTGGTCTAGGAGAGCGGGAAAAACAAAGGTTGTTTAAATGTCTGGGGAGATGGAGCAGGCGCGAGGACAGCGAGGTGCCCATCTCTGAGCTCCTCTGCTTGGAGGAAAGGGGGGATCTGCCTCCAGGCGGAGCGGAGGGGCCGTGGGCGATGCTCAGCGGGGGCCCACGCGGGCACTTCGGAAGCTGGGGCCATGGAAGCGTGCCGGAAAGGCGAGCAGCTGCGGGCAGGACGCGGGGCTCCCGCCTGGGGCCTGTTGTTGTCTCGGCTCCTCCGGAGGAGACGGCCGCATTGTGTGAGCCCTTGGCTCCCTTCCACCCCTGTGCCTGCGCTCCAGGGCAAGGTGTTTCCTCACAGCTCCCTGCGAGAGCCCCAGCACGGGAATGACCCCTCTCCCAGTCGGAGCCCCCAGCACATGTGGGAGCTCCTCCAGGTTCAAGGTGCTCCTGATGCCATTGTCCTGGGAAGCCTCTGGTCCAGGGGTGGTTGTGTTCCCCGCTGCCCGAGGAATACCCTGCACCAGGGAAGGTCACTGTTGCCTTTCTCTCGGTTTCCAGCACTAACAGCGAGCAGAGCAAGTAGCCAGGGTGCAGCTCGAGCACGTCTTGTACCTGAGGGCCAGATGTTGGTGGCAGCAGCTCCAGGAAATGCAATAAAAATCCCCTGCTACCTTTGCAGCTATGCTGGTGCATAGAAAGCTGAACACAAAACTCCTTAGGAACTAAAGGTGACCTGTCTGACGTGCAGAGCTAAAGGAACCCAATGGACGGTCCCAGGGCCCTGGGAACACGGTGATGCCTTCCTGGAGCAGCTCTGCCACAGGGATTGTTTTTCTGCTATGCACCCTCTCTTACCAACATGGATTTTCAGGCATTAGTGAGATCCTGGTGGGGAAAACACATTCATGTTCTTATTTCAAGAATGAGCTTGTGTTAGATCACAGATGGAGAAATGTTTTAAAACTGCTATGCTTAGAGGCTGAGCACCAAGGAAAACTGTGCTGGAAAGAGGTTTAAACTTTTTTAAGCTTTTGAGACCCCGGACTTGCTGTTTGGGTCCTTCAGAGCTTGCATTTGTCTGCAATGAGGTAATGCTTTGGGATTATCACTGCGTACCCATATATGTAGCTTGTGATTTTCTGGTTCTCGAGGGAACATTGCAAAAACTCGGCAGCAGAGGCAGGGCCAGTCGCCCTCTCCTCGCTCGGGCTCAGGCTCTGCCCAGCACTGTGTATCCCCGCAGGGGACGGCGCTTCTGCTGGGGACGGTCTGATCTTTGTGGTGTGGCATTGCTGAGATCTCTAATCTCTCTGTTTTTTCCTTGTCTGGGCATATTTCCTGGAGGAATCAGAGCTGAAGTGCTGATAAGGAAAGGGAGTGTCCGGGGGAGCAGGGCCGGTGCGGAGCAGCGCCAGGACCAAGCCAGGAGCAGCATCCGCACAAAAGCGGATCCTCTCCCTGCCCGCCCGCAGCCCCTTCCCAATGAGAGGAGCAAGAGGCTTTAGGAACGCCGGTTTTCCCGGGGCCATCAGCCGGGATGTCCTGCAGCAGAGCAGCCACTTGCACTGGGTGGTTCAATGCTGCTGCCTCTGTCCTAGGGGCATGGCCTCCTGAAAACATTCCCAGGCAGGCAGGGAGGGGGTGTGCAGCATTCCCAGGAATGCTACTGTGTCCGAGGGTTGAGGGCAGGTGGGGAGGAGGGAAGCTGTTTGTTTGCTTTGAACAGCAGCCCCGGCGGGCGAGGGGTCCGTGTGCCGGCCGTGCTCTGAGCCGGGCCCCTCTCCTCTCTCTTGCAGCAATTCCTGCAGAAATACGGATACCTGGGAGCGCCGCGGCACGGACAACCCGGCCTGGCGGCGTTCAGGGCGGCCCTCAGGTACCTGCTGCCCCAGATCCACTGCTTTATTTGCCTTTTACAGCCCAACGTGCTCGCTGTGCAGCCATGCGCAGGGAGCACCGGAATGGAGAGCTGGAGAGGGACCGGGATGATGGTCCTGCTGCCAGGACTGCACGTGGCGGGTCCCATGACGGGTCACTGCTGTCAGGATGCAGCCGGGCGCTTTCTCGGGAGATGGGAGCATCCCCTAGGGAGACGTGCAGCATGAGGAGGAGGCCCAAGCTGGAGTGGGAAGCAGCACATGGATCACCTGGATCTGCTGCAGTGCTCCACACGGGCTCACAAGGCTGCTCTGTGCAGGAAATGTTCTCCTCCAGGGATGGTCTCACGGGGATTCCCAAATGCCCAGACATGCTCCACGAGGAGGTTTCCCCCACGTGCCGGGGATGCAGCAGCCACGTGGCAGGGCAGGAGGTGCCGCCTGCAGTGGAGCGAGGCTTGGGAAGGCCGCTGGGAACGGGGCAGCTCGTGTCGGGGCTGTGCGAGCACCTCCCGCCTTGTCTTGCAGGGACTTCCAGCGCGTGAGCCACCTCCGGCCCAGCGGGCGGCTGGACGGCCCCACGCTGCAGCAGATGGGCCGGCCGCGCTGCGGCACGGGCGGTGAGCGCCGCGGCCGCGCGCGCCCCGCAGCACCGGGAGACAGGGCAGGGCGCCGGGGTTCGGGGCGCTCCAGATTGTTTCTGAGAATTGCAGCCTCCTTTGGTGCTGTTGCTTCGTGCTTCCCATTGGGAGCAGAGCGCAGATGTTGTGCCCAGCAGGCCAGCACTGCCACCACGGTGGCTCCAGGCTCTGCTGCTTTGCACGGGGATGCAGCAAGGTCAAGTCTGACCTGCTGGTGCTTGGACCCAAAGGCTCATTGCCCTGCGTGTGAAGAGGTTCAGTGCTGCCAGCATCACCGCTGGCTCCTCTCTGTGCAGGATGGGCCCTCAGGAGCTGCTCCGCAGGGGCAACGCGGTTCCTCGAGAGCCGCGACCCGCTGCGCTGGGGACATGGGAAAAACGAGGGCGAGACGGCGCGAGGGCTCTGCACATCGTCAAGCCAGACATGCATCTGGCAGGGCAGGGAGGGACCCTGGAGACAGCCCGTGCACTCCCGTTGTGCCTCTGGCTTCTTTCCCAAACACCGGCACATGGCGGCTCTGCCGCAGCCGGATCCTGGGGCTCGAGGCAGCTTGGCCCCTCTCCAGCCTTGCTGCATTCCCCGCAGCGCTTTTGCAAGGCAGGGGTCACCCCGGGCCGCTCTCTGCTCAGATGGGAGGGAAGGGCGAGGGCTGCAGCCTCCCGCGCCGCCGGCACGGCCGGGAAAGCCGGGGGCTTTGTGCTAAGTGCGCTGTTTATCCTGCCGCAAGCAGGAAGCGGCTGCAGCTGAACCAGCAAAGCGCTTTGTTATCCCCCCGCCGCTGCGGTGCCGACGGGATCCTCGGCCATGCAGCCCCATTGCGACGTGTCCGGCACCCGGACGGGCTGGCACAGGGTTGTTCCCTGTGAACTTGGGCTCGTGCAGCACAGTGGGACTGAGCGGGTGAAGCTGGAGCGCCCGTCGTGCCCTCCTGCGAGGAATGAGGAATCTCTCACCCATCTTTACGTTTCCAAAGCTGTTGAATTGCTTTGGTGAGAGGCAGGGGCTGCCATCCGTGCTAGCGCAGTGCCTAAATTACCCTCAGCACGTACAGCATCTGCTTGAATTGCTGCAAAACCCCCCCTGGAAGGGGCCGAGCCGCTAAAGCCGCAGCAAGGCAGGAAGCCGCGACGCG